CCTCTGGCCCAGCTGAGGGGGGTGACCCCGCCGTTGACGACATGGCGGCCACTCGCCGCTCTCCATGCTTGGAGACCCCCCCTGGTTTTCCGCCTCGGCGTCTTTGCCGCCTCCGGAGCCTGCTGTTGTGGACTCTGGAGCTGAGACTGTTGGTGCTGAGTCTGGGGGTGCTGAGACAGAGGGTGAGGGTTCTAAGGGTGCTGCGATTGGGGGTGCTGCGATTGGGGGTGCTGCGACTGGGGGTGCTGGTTCTGGGGGTGCTGCGACTGGGGGTGCTGGTTCTTGGGGTGCTGCGACTGGGGGTGCTGACTCTGGGGGTACTACGAGTCCTCGTGGCGGTGGAGCTGTGGGTGACCCTGCTGGAGGTCCTGGAGCTGGACAGCCACCGCAGCCTGATCTACTTGAGACGCTCTCGCCGTAGGCGATTCGTACGTGAATCGTTCAGCGAGGCAGTCCTGGTGGTGGAGCGTACGGTCTTGCTGGTGCTAGAGATGTTAGTCCTGGAGGTACTGCTGGTGCTGGAGGTGCTGCTGGTGCTGGAAGGTACTAGAGGTGCTGCTGGTGCTGGAGGTGCCGGAGCTACTAGTCCTAGAGGTGCTACTGGTGCTGGAGGTGCTGGACCTACTAGTACTGGAGGTACAGCTGGTGCTGTAGGTGCTGGAGGTGCTGGAGGTACTGGAGCTGCTGGTCCTGGAGGTGCTCGTATTGGAGGTGCTGGAGCTGCCGGAGCTGGTGGTGCTGTTCGTGCTGGAGGTGCTACTGGAGCTACTGGTAGTGGAGTTGCTGGAGGTACTGCTGGTGCTGGAGGCGCTGGAGCTGGAGGTACTGGAGGTGCTGGAGCTGCTGGTCCTGGAGGTGCTCGTACTAGAGGTGCTAGAGCTGTCGGAGAAGGTGGTGCTGCTGGTGCTGGAGGTGCTGGAGGTGCTACTGGAGCTACTGGAGCTACTGGCACTCGGAGGTATTGGTGCTGCTGGTGCTGGAGGAGCTGGGAGCTGCTGGTTCTGCCCCGCGCCGACTATTTTTCTACCCGCAGCCGCAGTCGTCCCTGCCGACCGCCTGACTCGGTCCTTCGCCGGGTTCTTAGTCTCCCGTCTTCCCACTGGCCTCACTCCACCTCTCATGTGTTCACCGACAGACCAGTCTTAGCCACAGCTACTGCTTGGCTCCTTGCTGCCTGCTCCTGCTCCTCACACTGAGGTGACTGAGTCCCTGACTCAGCGTTGTGAGCCTAAGACTCGTGCTTCCACACCTGTTCGTGGCTCGTCGTGTCACTTGTCCTCGTCCTCCTGCTGTCCCAGGCACTCACGGTATGGCACTTCGTCCTTCCTCTGTTCCCACAGCGTGTTGTCCTGCCTGAGCCTCCCGCGTCCTCTCTTCCGCATGTTAGTGACCCTGAGTCCGACATTGCTCGTGCTGCCAGTCCTACTGTCACTCGTCTCCTCGCTAATGTCGTCACTGACCCAGACCTTGAGTCTACTGAAGCGTTTGCCCTAGTCACTGAGCTAGTCGACTTTGCAGCTAGGAGTCGACTCGACTACGTCACGAGTCTTGTTACTGAGTCTGACTCTGTCTGTCCTTCGTCCATCGGGGGTGAGCTTGCCCTTAGGAAAGACATCCTTGAGGACAGACAGTTTGAGATTGAGTGTCTTGTGGCCACTTTGCCTCGTTTCGCATCCATGTTGCTTTGCCGTGAGGGAGACCCGGATGCACTTGACGTCCCTACCCCGCGCTCTTACGCTGAGGCGATCGCGGATGAGTACTCCTCTCAGTGGCAGACAGCCATGGACGCAGAGATGGCATCCTGGAAGTCCACAGGCACCTACGTCGACGAGGTTCCTCCTCCTGGGGCGAACATAGTCGATGGCATGTGGATTTTCAGAGTGAAGCGGCCTCCGGGTTCTCCGCATGCCTTCAAGGCGCATTACGTTGCTCGAGGCTTCAGTCAATGTCAGGGGGTCGACTTCTTCCATACCTTCTCCCCCACCCCAAAGATGACCACTCTTCGGGTGCTGCTGCACGTCGCTGCTAAGCGTGACTATGAGGTGCACTCTCTTGACTTCAGTACATCTTTCTTGCAGGGCAGCCTGCACGAGGAGATCTGGCTGCGCCGCCCACCTGGCTTCACTTGGTCGTTTCCTGCAGTTACCCAGTGGAGCCTCCAGCGGCTAGTCTATGGTCTCCGCCAGGCGCCCCGAGCATGGCACGACACCCTTAGGACTACACTTGCGGCTCTTGGGTTGTTCCTTCCTCTGGTGGCCCGTCGCTGTTTCTGCGCACAAACACTACCCTGCCGCCGTTCTACATTTTTTGCTACTGCTAACACTGAGGCGCTGGCCTTAGTGAAGGCGGAGCTACAGGAGAGACACACCTGCACTGACCTGGGTGAGTTGTGTAGCTATCTTGGCTTGCATATCACGCGGGACAGAGCACGGCGCACCATCACCCTGACTCAGTCACACATGGTGCACCAGGTCCTTCAGCGCTTTGGCTTCCAGTTTTCCTCACCATAGCCCACTCGTCTGTCTACGGCCACTCGCTCTCAGCTCCACCTTCGGACGAGTCCGTAGAGCCGAGTGGTCCGTATCCAGAGCTTGTGGGTTGCCTCATGTACCTGATGACGTGCACACGACCTGACCTCGCGTACCCTCTCAGCCTCCTGGCTCGCTACGTGGCTCTCGGTAGACACTGAAAGGTGCACTGGGATGCTGCGAAGAGGGTACTGCGTTACTTATGCAGTACATCGTGCATGGGGCTCGTGCTTGGAGGACAGGGTTCAGTGGTACTTACAGTACACTCCAACGCTTCTTGGGCCGACGACCAGGCGAGTCAACGTTCGTCACAGGGTTACACCTTCGTGGAGGTCTTGTCTCTAGTTTTGTCTCTTGAAGGTCCACTCGTTCTTCTTCTGTGCTTGGTTCCAGCTGTGAGGCCGAGATCTACGCTAGGGCCATGGCTGCACATGAGCTACGCTGGCCGACCTACCTGCTGATCGACTTGGGGGAGCGGCCTCGTTCTCCTCCAGTTCTGTACGTCGACAACAAGACAATTCTTGCCTTGTGTCATGAGTAGAGGCTGGAGCACATAACGAAGCACATTGCTCTTCGCTATTTCCTTGCGCGTGAGGCTGCAGCAGCGTCGTCAGGTCCGCCTTTCCTACGTGGCCTCGCGGGCCAATACTGTTGATGTGTTCACCAAGGCCCTTGTGTCTGGTGATCATCAGCGTTTCTGCACTGCTCTTGGGCTTGTGCCCACTCTGCCTCACCTGCTAGTTGCTTGACCTTGCTCTTGTTGTACACTTATATATATCTTTGTACCTGCTTGTTGACTCTTGCTAGGTTGTGACAAGTGTACGTCCTTGCTATTATAACTGTGCATGTGAACTTGTCTTGTGTCCGCTTGCTTGTGCTCCGATTGTGTGGTGTCCTTGAGATCCACCCTAAGCTTTGCTTTGCTTTGTTTTCTTGTTTGACTGGTCTTGTGACCGTCTCTTGTGTTTGCTATCTGCCACATAGCCTATGGGGGTTTGTCAAACTATATGTTTGTGTTCTGTCTAGGCTATAGTGGGTTAGCCTACAAGGGGTACAACACTTTAGGGTTAGTACTTGTACCCAGCTCATTCATAGTTCATCCATTCCTTCACAGTTATTATGACAGTGCAATATTCACTCGCTTTCTGACTTGCACCCGTAATACCAATTAAACAATGCCTTAGTTGTTTCTTGCCGACCCGATCATACGCTTGAAAAAAAAACGCTTGAGCCTCAAGGCCAGCACTGCATCGTAGCTAACATATTTCGCGTCATGAGCATTCGCTGTGGCACTCCTTGTTTGCTCATGGATTCACTCACATTGCATATTCTCCTTTCCTAGTTTATGGAGTCCGTGTCGGGTATTGAGTTGAGAAATACACTTCAACAACATATGTGACTGAATACTGGAAGGAAAATGGCCCTCAGGCAGTTCTTGTGGTCTTCTGTGACTGGATACGGGGCATTCATGCTGCTCCTCCCACCCTACCTTGGCAGCGTTTGGTTCTTGCTCCTGCTGCATCGTGTGGTCAACCCCAATCTGCAAATCAAAATCGTAGAAAGATGGAAGTGAACAGTTGCTTGATTTTTGAAGAGAACCATCACACGTGCGACTCGCAACAAATGTCTATCTGAATTTCAGGTTGATAAACCACCTGGGCGAGTTCAGTAAGAGGTGCGAATTCTTTTTTTCCGATTATTTTCTTTCGGGAGTTCGCTTCCGTTTGGTTATGAATTTAGCACTGCAAAGATTGTGACTTTTGTGTCCTCTCAAAAGTTTGGTTAGAATCTAAATTGATTCAGACTCGACTGATAGGACGCATCGCATGCAGGTCCCGTGGATGTTTGAACAGACAGCCGTACCATTTTTGTTCTGTAGCAGGCACTTGCGATATACACCTGAGGGGTCAGGAGTTTTCAACGATGTTCGCAAATCTACTGGATTCGAGACATGACAAATGATGCGGCTCGCTCAACGACCTCTCCCCCTAACAGAATGGCTCTCCATTGGTCTGGCGACGACATGTCCAACCCACCATGAGACCCATGCCATGTGACCACGCCCATCTGCGGAAGCCAAACCGCATGGTGCAGTTGCATCCTCCTCCATGCATCCGCATCCATGCATCGGCCTCTGTCGCAGTCAACATTTCAGGGGTATCCTCAGGCAGTCTGTGCACTGCGCTTCCAGCAGAAGTATTTTCTGTTGCGAACTCATCTTTTCACTAAGTGTTTGAGAGGCATCAGCTAGAATATGCCAGCCAACACAAGAGGCTCCTCTCTTTGACCAAATTTGTGCTAGCAGTACCACACAACAACAGAGCCTCACATTACTTTGATAACCAAGCCCCCTGAGATCCACCATACTGTACTGACTTCATTCTTTCATTCTTTTTTCTCCGCCATTTTTTCCATTGAGATTCACGTAGTCCCTAACAAAGCAACATACTACTAGCCAGGCAAGCACGCGCCATGGCCGTCCCATCGCAGCGCACGCTGCGCGTCGTCTGCATCTTACTCCTCGTCGCCCTCCCCTGCCTCGTCGAGGCAGCACGGAAAAAAAAGAAGGGGGACACGCCACCCTTGCCGTCCGTTCGCTTCTACAAATCAACAGTCAAAGTCTCTTACGCCGGAGTAGCGAAAATTCCCTCCACGGCCACGCAAGGCGCGGCTGTTCAGAGCCGACAAGTGCTGGAGAATCCAAGAAGTCAAATCGGCGGCCGCCGTCTATTGGAGGACGACAGCATTGATCTTGGGACTCCCGGTACCGATCCGTCGGCTACCGACCCTGCTGTGGAGGATGGGGAGCCGAACCTGGACTTTGATCCTCGGCCGCTGCTCCCGCCCGCGGAGCTTACCGGAGCCACCGCGGTTAGTACTCTCACCTTTCTGCGGTTCATGTTCTCGCGGTTGTCCGCGATTAGTTTCCTGGAATTCCTTCACATCAAGTCGCGGTTAGGATTCTCTCTCTCCGCTTGCATGCCGCTTATGCGAATATGACAGTCGCGGGCATCGCGTGTGCGGTCGCCGTGCCGAGCCACTCATCCAGGACCGTCGACAATAGCAGTGACATCCTGCCTAGAGAGTCCGTACCTGACATGTCTAATGGTCAGCGGGTACTGGGCCTGATGAGTAGGCCAGCAAACTGCTCGCGAGATTACTAGGTACATTCGCAATAGGTACATTTTGCTCGCAGTTGGTTCGACCATTGTTGTGACGTATCGACTTTATGTGACAGTCGTTTAATTCGGAATCGCGACAGTCGCGACAGCTCTAGCTCCGACACATTGGCGGCCTAGAGGGATAGTTGCGCGTCGGCGTAGGTGTCAGCTTAGGTGGCGGCACAGCCTGCGACACCCATGCCGCATCAGAGGGTCGTTTTCCGTGTGACGCAGCACTGTCGCGGCACGGGGAGTCGCACGCTGTGCAGTATTATAATGCACGGGCGGTCATGTAACGGTTTTCGCGCTTGCTCTTTCTATGAAGTGTGGAGGGTTTGTTGTGAATCGGCGCTTACAAAGCGTTCGACGCGGAAGGGTCGTCGTACGAAGCACTGTCGTCTCGCGCGTTCACGTCGACTCAGAAACACGCGGAAGGGTCCTCATACGAAGCGCTATCGTCTCGCGCGCTCACCTCCCCGCTCTCATACCCTCCTTCCCTCCATTTCTCCCGCGCGCGTTTGTACGCGTTACAGGACCTCGAGGCGGCCAAGAAGAAGAAGCCCAAGGCGTTTCTATCGCTGACGGTCGCTCCCTTCTCGCCGTCCGTCCTCAAGCGGCGTCACGGCCAAGCAGACCGCCTCCACCGGCACCGCCGCATACGCAAGCGACTCGAGCGTGCCCGACCCGTCCGTGTGCGCCGGCAGCAACTACGTCGTGCAAGTCGTCAACTGGGGT